TTTTCCAAACCTTTTCACCCTGACCAGTTCATGGGCTGCCATCCAAAGTCCGAATTCATGGCACGGCAGCTGACGGCGCTGCTAATGGACGTTGGGACCATGGGACTGATACAAACATACTACGTCATCTCACCACATTCTAGCTAGGCTTTTTCTTTTGCTAATGTGAGTAGCTAAGATTGCAGAAGCAGCTTGTGCTGATGGAGAGTGAAAGAACCTCGCGTGCCTGTGTGTGAAGTTACTTTGCTCTACAAAGTCCTCTAAATTGTAATCACAGTAGGTGATCCATCCATTCCCGAAGTTCAAAGGGCTGGGGAGGGGTCAGGATGGGCACCAATTGCTCACAAGCTTCATTTCCCCAAATTAACTTTACAAAAACCAAACGAACGAACAAAAAGCCCCAACAAAAACAGTCTTCCTCGGGAGGAGGGGAGGAATAAAACCCACTCAGCTCTCCAGCAGCCGCTGTGCTTATTCTCAGTGCTGGATGGCCACGCCGCACGTTGTAATGGACTCCGGAAAACTCGGCAGCTTCTGGAAGCGTTGCATAGGTGGATGATGTACCTGTCGGTAGAGCCTGGTTATGAGCTGCAGGAAGAGGAGCTTGCTGAACTCCACAGAGAAACCATCCCTCCCCCTGACAGATAGACGAGGTGAGGAGGGAAGGAGGAAGGGGAGGCTATGGGTCTTGCAGGTTCAGTTCTGTCCTTGGGACCTCTTTTACCTCATGTGCAGAAAGGCTATGGTCCTGTGGGAGAAGGCTCCTCTCCCAGTGCAGCGGAGGTCAATTTGCTTGTTAGCTTGCTTTTGAGGGAGTTGACGAGATCACATCCATGGGCGTAACGTTTCCCTTGGCGGAGCAAGCTGTGATGGAGGCAGTAGAGCAGAACCATTCAACCCACTGCTTGCAGAGACAGTAGATATTCAACCCTCGTTCACGTTGGCCAAGTCCCAACATGAACTCCATGCATCAAAGCAACACTGTGACAGATCAATTTGTCTGGACTCAAGGACAGGCCACTCTGAGGATTTGCTAAGCCAAGCTCGCATTGCTATAGTACCACCGGCTTCAATAAATTACACTAGGAATGAACATAGCCCATTAATTTCTACCTGAAATGTGACTAAGCCCCTTTCCCCTTTTTCCAGAATGCCCACAGGGAAAAGAGCCCTCGGCCGGCTCAGCCCCGAGTCCCCACTGGGCTCCCAGGTCCTCTGAACCAGCCTTTGGTGCCCACACATCCCTGGCTCAGTGGAGACTCTAGGCCCACGTGCATCGCGGGAGGCGGTATTACCGACCAGAGCTAATGCTTCAACCATGCCCCATTTCTGAGATGACCTGGATCCAGATCATAGTCATACAGACCCTTATTCTAACCACCAAATAGGAACGAAACCCTCTCCGGGCGGGGGGGTGGGTGTGTGTGTGGGGGGGGAAATAAGCTCTTTGGTAACACAACTTCTTGGTAGCGGTGTAGTATTCCAGACCCATGCCCTGCAGCTACTGCAGCAGAGTAGGAGCACATTGCAGCAAGGTTGTACCCTGCTAAAAGTAAGGCAGCGTCCTGGTGATATTAGACAGCAGTACTGAAGCCATGGTTGGAAAGGCTGGAAGGAGACCTTCGAAGGTATTATTATTACTGTGTTCAGTTTTGGGCCCCTCACTCCAAGAAAGACGTTGCGTTGCTGGAGCATGTCCAGAGGAGAGCCACAAAGCTGGGGAGGGGTCTGGAGCACAAGGCTTACGAGGAGCGGCTGGGGGAGCTGGGGGTGTTCAGCCTGGAGCAGAGGAGGCTGAGGGGAGCCCTCAAAAAAACAGGAGGGGCGGGCGGGGGGGGGTCGGCCTCTTCTCCCTGGGAACGGGCGATGGGATGAGGGGGAATGGTCTGAAGTTGCGCCAGGGCAGGTTTAGGTTGGACATTAGGAAAAACTTCACTGAAAGTGTAGTCAGGCTCTGGAATGGGCTGCCCAGGGAGGTGGTCGAGTCCCCATCCCTGGAGGGATTTAAAAGACGGGTAGACGAGGTACTTAGGGCCATGGTTTAGTGGTGGGATGGCAGGGTTAGGTTAACGGTTGGATTTGATGATCTTAAAGGTCTCTTCCAACCAAAGTGATTCTGTGATTCTAAGGCACTTTGGTAAGCCCCAAATTACCTCTTGGGAGCCCTGTGGCCTGGAGCAGAGGTAGGCGGGTGCTGTGCTGGATCACTAAATCTGCCCCGCAGACTCTCAGAGTGCTCAGCCTTTCAAAGAGGTGAAGAACACACACGAATCAAAGTTCTCTGTGTGAATGCCAGCGTTGGCTGTTTAATACGGTGAAAAGAGGTTTCCAGTTTGTTTGGTGCTTGTTACCAGAAGGTCTGAAAAGGGAAGAAGGGTAAAAGATGCTAGTTGTTTTTCTGGTGAATACATTTTTTCCTTGGAAAGAAAATAATCCATGTAACTCGGCTGGTAAGCATGTGGGTGTAGACCATGCTGTGATCCTGAAGGTCTCCCAACAATCTAGGACTAATGTTGGTTTTCCACAGGCAGCAGCGAGCTGTCTCGCTCACCTGACCCTCATCCTGCTCTTTGCAATACACCTTAAAATTGGAAAGGGAGAAAGCAGCTGAAATGAATTTCTTTGGTGTTTGACTCCCATTCCAAAGAGCCTTCCTGCATCGCTATGCATCCTGAATTACCGTGCTTTCTTTATGTTTCCTGCCTGCTCAGGAGGAGGCATGTAGCATGGCCTGGGAGCTCTTGACAGAGGTCTACGCGATCCCCAGAGATCGTCTCTACGTCACCTATTTTGGCGGAGACTCCTCGCTGGGGCTGAGTGCAGATGAGGAGTGCAGGGACGTATGGCTCCGCTTGGGGTAAGCGTGTTAGAGAAGAGGTTCTGAGTAGCAGGTGCTGACACTTTGGTCTGCATAGTCTCCCACTTGGTCTTTAGTTGATGGGAATCAAATGTAGGGGCCGAAACTTGTGTTTGAAACTCATTTTGTTTCTGGTTTGTTTGGGCTGTTAAAAGTCAGCTGGGCACTGAGTGCCCTGGGGCACTTTAAGCTGTTTCTGGGATGTTACCAGTCTGCTGGGGGGCCGTGTACCTAACGCTGGCTGGCCTAGATGAAGCATGTGAAGGCTCTCCGATCCTTTGCCTCCTGACCATCGTGAGCTGCAGAGAGTACGTTCTCTGAAAGCTAGCAGTGGCTGCTTCGTGTGAGGATGAAGCCATTGCAGAGAGCGCTGCTGTGCTTTGGGAGCTTGTTCCAGGTTGTGTGTGGGCTTTGGACCCAAGGCAGCCAGCTCTGTGCCACTCTTGATGTTCGGCCTTGTCTATTGTGACCAGGTCTTAGCTCTGCTGGAATTCCCTCCAAGGAGGAAGGCAGTTCCACAGACCCAGTGGAGAGCCTGTCTCCGTCAGGAGGAGCCAGACAGAGTTTGCCAGCCATTCTAGGCAGCGAGTGGGATCCTGTGTGGGTCAGTGCAGCTTGTTCCTGCTAAGGAGAGTAATTCTGTGGGAACAGAAGTAAAGGAATCCTAGTGTGTTTGATTATTGAGTTTGTAGTAATCAGAAAGGATTCCTCCCTTCCGACTTTCTCTGACATCTAGGACAGTATGTGCTTTCTGTGCATGCCCCAGCGCTGCCACCTCTGTTTGCCTTTCCAGGGTGCCTGCCAGTCATGTGCTTCCTTTTCCATTGAAGGACAACTTCTGGGAGATGGGGGACACGGGTCCCTGCGGTCCCTGCACAGAGATCCACTATGACCACGTGGGTGGTGGCAGAAATGCTGCGGCACTGGTGAACCAGGGCAGCCCCGATGTAGTGGAGATCTGGAACCTGGTCTTCATGCAGTATAGCAGGTACCAGGCACCTGGTCTGAGCTCTAGAGCATTTTCCCCTTGTCTACCTCCAAAGTCATAAGTGTATATTCTCAGACATCTTGCTGCTTTCCAGGAGGTGGCAGTACAGGAGCAAGAGGAAAGCTATTGGAGATGTGTGGCTCTTGCTCCCCTTTGTTTTATTTATCCTGTTCACTTTCAACCTCTGCTGCCTGTTCCCCCTCACTGCTGCATCCCAGAGGTCTCCTGAGGTCTGCAGCAGCCCAGAGAAATTTGCAGGAGGAGAAGGCCTTGCGCCCCTCTTCAGGGAATGCCTTTTTCCCTATGTTATAGTCTATCCTGACTATCTGATGGTCAGGTCCTGGCTGCCTGATGGTGCCAAGGCAGGCTGCTGTTAATCTTGTCCCTGGGCTTCCTTTTGTTGGGTCACCTGCTGTTTCTATCCCTTGTCATTCTTCAATGCTCCTTGACTTACCTGCTCCTTTTCTTTGCCCCTGAACTCACCCTTGCTTCTCTTTTGCCTTTTATTTTTGCTGGCTGACAGAGAAGTGGAGGGGAATCTGCTTCCCTTGCCACAGCACCACGTGGATACAGGAATGGGCCTGGAAAGGCTGGTGGCAGTTCTGCAGAACAAACGCTCCAACTACGACACAGATCTCTTCACTCCTATCTTGGATGCCATTCACAAGGTGACGGTGCTTCTGCTCAGAGCCGCAGCTAAGCAAAAGCTCCTTGGATGCAGACTGCTTGCCCAGAACCATAGTACAGCCTTCTCTTCAGATGTTACTGTGTGGTATTTTGAGACAGGAGGTAGGCCCAGCCAGGTCCAGAGCAGCGTTCTAGGGAAAGTGGGGAGAATTGCAAGTTGGAATAATCCTCTGAGATATCAGCACTGCTGATCTGTTTTTCCTCCAGTGTTTCTTAAATTCCTCAGTGCTGGGGCATTGACTGACCTGTCTTAGATATGGAAGTCTTGGTATATAATGCTTGGGAAGGACTTAATGAGTACGTCTTAGATGCACAAAGTTCAGAGGTAGTTGAGAAGCATGATGTCAAGTGTAGCTGGCTCCCTCTTGTGCTGAAACTTTTCCTTCTGCAGTCATGAATTTCTGCTGATCTATCTCCTTGCTTTCTCCTTTAGGGCTGCAATGGGCCCAGGTACCAAGGTCTGGTTGGGGATGCTGATGTTGGGCGTGTGAACATGGCCTACCGTGTGGTGGCAGATCACGTGCGCACCTTGTGCGTGTGTATCACCGACGGCATCTATCCAGGTGTCTCTGGAGCAGAGTAAGGACATAGGGAAATGGCATGGGGTGGAGGGGGTTAGGTCTAGAAAGGAATATGGACAGCCAGAGGGAGAGGTTCTGGTGTGAGCCCAAGATAGGGAGTGCATGATCTTTGGGGAGGCAGGAAGGTGGGAGCCTGGAGGCTCATCCTTGGGTGGGTGTGGAGCGTGGGGAGCAGCTGGCCTGTGTCAATAGGTCAGGCCAGAGGAGCTGTGTCGGGTGTGTGCTGGATGTGGGAGCTGGGCAGGGATGCTCACGTGACTGCCTGGGGAATCCTGCTCTGCTTTCAGACTGGTGCTGCGTCGGATCCTGCGCAGGGCTGTCCGCTTTTGCTCTGAAGTCCTTCACGCTCCACCTGGGCTCCTGGCCTCTCTGGTGCCTACTGTAGTAGAAGTGCTGGTGAGTAAAAACTGCTGCCTTGGCGGGGGTGGAGGGGAGGGGGGGGAAGAGTAGCACACATGTCCTTTTCAGCCCCAAGTCCCTTTCCTGTACACCGTCAGGAGACAAATCTTGGACGGAAAGTAGCTCTAGGAGGGCATATCTGATGCTATACCTCATAGCAGTAAAAATCTCTTGTCTTCTGATCATTTGTGATGAGAGGGAGGGGGCCTAGTGTGATCTGTGATAGTCGGCACAAGTGTGTGTGTGTGTGTGTTAGTTTGTGCAAGTGCATGTTGTTTCCTGAGGGCAGTGGCTTCCAAGCTGTCATATCTGGTCAAAGCCATCTGAAATTGGTCGCTGGGAGTACTAACAGCATCCTAAAAGGCAAGTGCTTGCTTTCTATTGTGAACGGATGTGCTTGCCCAGAGGCGGTCACAGGGAGATAGCCAGGAGATGGCAGCTGTAAGTCCATGTGTGATTCTTCCTCTGTACTTCTGTCCCTGGGGCTGTGCACTGGGGCGCCCTTCACACTCACCTGCCTGAGAAACCTCTGTAATGCTTGTGGTGTGCTGTGAGATCCCTTGAGGAAGACGCTGAGGATGTTATCACTAACTGAGGCTCACTCCACAGGGAGATGCCTATCCAGAGCTGACGAAGAATGCAGACCAGGTGAGCAATGTGGAATCCCCTGGAGAGAAGCCCTATCTCTCATTATCTTCGGGAGGCACTGCTCTCAGGGGCAGAAGTCAGTCCTTCCTTGGGATTTAGCTGGAGGAGTTTGCATAGCCTCCTCCGTAACCATGTCCTCATGGGTGGGCTGAGATGTGTTGCGAACATATTTGTATCCTGGGCACGAGAAGTATCTGCAGCAGATTTCCCTGTGGGAGCTCTACTAGATCCTTATCAGGGACTGCCTGTCCTGGTATAAGGCAGCTGTGGCCCTAAAAAAGCTAGGGTAGCTCTGTTGTTGAGTGCAAGTACAGCCTGTCCTAGCCTGGATACCTTTTGTCCAAAGCGGATCGGTGATTTAAGGCTAGTCCTGGCTTGCTTCTGCTGACAGCAACTGTGACGAGTAATTTCTCTGGCTGTTCCAGCCATGCAATTTTAACTGGGTCACGGGTGTGAATGTCTGACAGGGAGCATTTGTCAGCTTCCAGCCTTCCCCAGGTGGATGGTCAATGTTTTCTTGACAGGAATGGTGATAGGAGGCACAATGACTTTGGCACTGAGTGTTGCATCAGAGCCGTGTTGTGATGGATGCTTAGAGAACAAAAAGGCTGGTTCAAGCAGACACCGTGCCCCTGTTAGACACCTGCTTGATGTGCTTTCAGCTGACTTTAGCAGGGAACCCCGTGGCAGCAGGGCTGGGCTGAGCTGGGCAGCTCCCTGAGGTGTTGTGGCTAACCCTTCTTTTGATCCCTGGGCAGATCATGGATATCATCAATGAGAACGAAGCTGCTTTTCTGTCCTCCCTCGAGCGTGGGAGGCGCATCATTGAACGGACAGTGCAGCAAATGGAGCCCTCAAAAAATTTCCCAGGTAAGTCTCCCTCCTCTGACAAGCTGCACTTAAAGATGGTCTGATCCAGGTCCTCACAAGCATTGCAGTCACAACTGTGGTGGATGTCTGCCTCCCCCACGTATTTTCAGTGATCTTCTAGCCCTGGGCAGAGGAGTGGATGTTGCAATTTTTTTCTGGTACTTTCTAGTTCTCACAACAAACTAGGCACCAGGGAAGTTGGAAAGGTTCCCTTGCTGCTTTATTGACTGATTAACTGAGTCCTTACAAGACACAGCTGAAAGGAGGAGCTCAGGACCCAACCAGAGCAGCTGCCTGTCTAGATGTGCTGCAGTGAGTTTTAGCAGGGATGGGGCTGTGGGGCATCATTAATACTCGGTCCCATGCAAGAAGAATTGCATGGCTTCTCTTCCCCTCCCCATTACCAGCACAGTTGCATGCAGCACAGGGGATTCCAGTTACCAAGGCACATACTAGATGTGTCCCATCGAAGCAAATCTTGAGATGCCTTCGCCTTCTGTGTTCACACAGAGTTCATGTCCTTCTTTTTGTCCTACAGCTGAAGTAGCCTGGTCTCTCTATGGGAATTTGGGATTCCCTCTGGATCTGATTGACTTGATGCTTGAAGAAAAGGGAATCAGTTTGGATTCAGCTGCTTTTAATGAATTTGTTCTGGAAGATGCAAAGGTAAGAAGGAGACTCATGTTGGCAGTTATTCAGAGCCTTCCCTCTCTCCAGTGAGCATGGAGGCAGAATTCCTTTCACTATTGAGGCTCTTTGGATGCACCACAGGGCCATGTGCCTTTTCCCTGAAGGGGAAGTGGGTCTGAAACAGCAGTGGGGTCACAATGCCTTCACTTGTAGGTGTGGGACTGAGAAGTACTGGGTGGTGATTCTCTTCAGATCGGTAGAAGTGTCTTATGATGCTGGCTCTTGCTGGAGTGGAGGTTATCCCAGAATTATCTAGGTTAGGAGTGTCCTCTGTCAGTCGTGTAATCCAACTCCTCACACAAAGCAGAGCCAGCTTACCCCAAGCAGCAAGTGATTTATGAAGTTTGCAAAATCTCCTTGGGCTCTGTAGTGCTGGAGGACTTGCACTGCCCACCCTGTACAGTAATCAGTTCAAGGCCTTGCTCCCCGAGCTTTAATGGCCTGGAAGTTTCACAGCTACGCAGCAAGCTGTGCTGGGAGGGTTGTGTTAGCTGTTGCTAGCACCGGGTGCTATTGAGTGCTTGTGGGGTTTGAAGGAACAGGGTTGGTTTAGCAGCAGCTACCATCAGCCTGGCTCTAAACAAGCCTTTTCCAGGAAGGTGGAAGAAGTTGTTCCTAAGCTTATAGCTCCGTTTATCAGCTTCAGTGTCCGCGGGTATCTTCCATCTAATGGTGCCTTTGCTCTGCTGTAGCGGAAGGCTGGTGGCCCACAGGCAGGGCAGTGGGAGGACGCAAACACGCGCCTTGATGTGCACTCGCTGGCCCAGCTGCGGAGCAACAGCGTGCCTGCTACTGACGATTCTCCAAAGTATGCCTACACGCTTGGGCAGCACGGGCAGTATGGTAAGTGGCCACGTCCCGTCTGTAAGGCAAGCTCTGCCTGAGGGCGCCGGGATCCCTCACAAGGCTGCTTTTAGTGCCTAACCTCATGCATGCACAACGCGTATTTTGTGGTTCCAAGCTGTCCACCTTGCCGCTGCATCTTTTCTCTGCCCCGGGGGTTGGACTAGATGACCTCTAGGGGTCCCTTCCAACCCAAAACGTTCTACAGTTCTATGATCCCAAAGCAGTTGCTTTTCTTATTGCTGCTGATGTGTCCCCAGGAAGGCTCTGGGCTGGTGACAAGGTTGAGAGCTCTGGGTAGGTATTACTGTACAGTGGTGAAGCAGGGACTGTTGATTTCTGCTAGAGATCAGTTTGTCCCCAACAATTAGGCTTCTGGGTGCGAGCGCTAGGGAGAATGAAGAATAATTATGCAAGGGCTTTAGGTAGCTGTTTAACACAGTGCACTTGCTGTTTCTTCGGCAGACCACTAGATGCCAGTGCAGGTTTTTTATTGTTTGGGATAACTGGAGTTGCTGATGCTCTAGGGAAAGCATAAAGCTAAACCACAGAGAGTAAGAAGTGGTGTGGGTGTCACATACAATTAGAGAGAGCTGCATACAGCCAGCTGCCTTGTACCCAGTGTGCTGGGGGTGAAAAGTGAGGCAATTCAAACTATATACTACAGCAAGCGCATAACGGAGGGAAAAAACCCAGCAGCAACGTTGGCTAGAATCTCCAGGCTAGCACTGTCCCACCTCCTCAATCACTGAATCATGGAATGACAGGTTGGAGGGGATCTCTGGATGTCCGGTCTTTTGATCAAAGGAACATCAGCGTCCCAGTCAGATCAGGTTGCTTAGAGCCTTGTCTATTTAGGCTTTTGGTATCTTTAAGGAGAGAGATCCCACAGCTTCTCTGCGCCCTGTTCCAGTTATCACTCTTAATGTGAAAAGTTGTTTTGCTTATGTACCACCACAATTTCCTGTACTCTACATGCGGTCTCACAAATGCTAAATAGGGGTGAATAATCACTTTCCTTGACCTGGTGGTTATGTTTGTGCTCATACAGCCCAGCAGGCAGTCAGTCTTCCTGGCTGGAAAGGCACCCTGCTGACTTGTGCTCAATGTGTTCCTGAGGACCCTGAGGTTTCTGTCAGTCCATTTCTGTAGCCTGCTGAGATGCCTCTGAAAAGCAGCCCTGCTCTTCAATGTATCAACCAGTCCCCATAAATTTACTGCCATGCGTGAGCAGGATGTGGGTACATCCCATCTTGTCATGGGTGGCCATTAATGAGGATGTTAAATGGTTTGGGCCCCAATATCAGCCACCAAGTAGCTCTACTGGTAACTGAATATCAGTTGACATTGAACTGTAGAACGATTCTCTGTGGGGCCAGCTGCCCAGTCAGTTATACACCCACCTTATGATCTACCTGCCCAGTCCACATCACCTGAATTTGGCTTCCAGGAGGCTACAGGAGAGCACAGAAGGTGACATCCCTGTCTTCTCTTGTCCACCAAGCCAGTCGTCTCTTCATACAAGGCAGTCAGGTTGGCCAAGCGTGCAGTGTAGCAAGATGCAAGCCTGTATGTGCCACATATTGCTCTGTCAGGCTCATGTGGAGCCAGACTGGGCATCCTGGCCTGGTTACCTGCTACCCAGCAGGTCTGTCACTAGGTTAGTGAGGGGTGACTTGGTTCCGTATCACAGATCCTTTGTCCTCTCTGCTAATAGCTGTTTCTCTCCTACTGAGGCAAAGGAAAGTGCCAGCTTTCTGTATAGACTGGGTGTTGGCAGGGTTGTCATGGGGAAGTGACCCCTCCTTTCATGTTGCAGTCTGACAGGGTGTATGCACTAATTGCTGCCCATATTCTTCTCCTTGGCAGAGTTCAGCCCATGCCAGGCCACCGTCCTGATGCTGTACAGAGATCAGTCTCTCCAGAAGGAGGTTGGGGCAGGGCAACGCTGTGGTGTCATCTTGGACAGGACTAACTTCTATGCAGAGCAGGGCGGGCAAGCCTCTGACCAAGGCTACATGATACGTTTAGGACAGCAGGTGAGACCCTTTGGTGCCTGAACTCAAGGCCTCTCTGGATACTGAGGCCAGGCAGACTTCCCCCAGTGTTGGGCTCTTTTACTGTGTTAATTTGCAAGCTACTGACTCTTGACGGTTCCTTTGGCTTTGCCTCGGGGTTGGTGGAGTGAGGGAGAAGTAGCAGTAACTTCACAGAGGTGGACCTGCTGCTCTGGTTGTCTTTCTCAGCCCTTTGCAATTTCTTCTTGCTGGAGAACACTGGAAAGTCTTCTTTAATGTGCTGCAGTCTTGCCAGCTGGGGTCGCAATGCAGAGAGAAGGCAATCAGTGATCAGAGAGCACACAAGCTGAGTAATTTGTCTCCGGCCAGTCCTGGACAACTGCAAGCAGCAGCCAACCTGAAACCCAGTGCAAAAACTCTTATCCCTCCCAAAAGCATCAGGGGGGACCTCCACCTCTGCAAAACGTTCTTCAACTGTGCCAGAGGGAGAGGGTGTGTGCTGGATGGATGCTTTCACCCTCCCCTAGGAAGTTACATGGGGTGCAGCTTTTTCTCCTTCCCACATTCCAGCTCTTGAGAATCACCCCTGGGCATTGATGCTGCCTGTTTAGCCTTGCAGAGTGTGATAGTGCCTTGCTCAGCACTTCTCCTCAAGCTGAAGCAGGGATCAAGTTTCTCTTGCCAGCCCAGTGAGGCAGAAATGGCACCTTGGGTGCCTGAGACGGGTGCCTTGGCAGCTGCTGTCCATTTTCTCATGGACAAGCATCCTTATTAGGAAAATTCGTCGGCATGGGTGGTGTTGCTGCCCCTCCACTGCAAGGTCACTGCTTAACATCTTGGGCAGCGAGTGGCTGGATGCAAGAAAGGCCTGAGGCACTCTGGTTACATTGGCAGTAAGTTTGTCTCTGCTTTTCCCACCCCATCTCTGTCTTCTAGAGATCGATGGGGGTTGTGTTTCCTAGTTGGAACAAGCAGGCACCTAATACAGGCCTTTGGATGTTCCCTGTGTCCTAACTCATCTTTCTGTCTCTCTTTGCTCAGGACATACTCTTCCCTGTAGAATCAGTTCGTCTCTGTGGTGGTTACGTGATCCATGAGATCACTGCTGTGGAAACCCTGCGGGCTGGGGACCAAGTGCAGCTCTTTGTGGATGAGGTGATAACTCGCTGCTCTTAACCTTTTCCTAGCTTTGCCTTGAGAGTCTTGTGATGTCCTGAGTAACCTGGGCACAGCAGAGCCTTGTCCCTTGTATTCCTGAGACTGCTCTTCATTGTGATGTGTGGTGGGAGGGAGACCTCACAAGTAACTCTGTAATCTTCTGTGAGCCTTTGGTCTGTCCAGAAGTATCCAGCCTACCCTTTGCTTTGCAGTGATCCCAATGGGAAAAGAAGTTAAATCTGCCCTGTGACGTAAATTCATCTGACGGCTGTGCTACCCGTTGTTTTCCCCATCTTCTCTGTTTCCATCTTCTCCCATCCCCTCACATGCAGCCTTGTCCTTACCTTTTGATGCCGTTCCCTGCTTCCCTGAGCTGTGGAGAACCAGCACTCCCTGCCAAATTGTCTGTGCTTTCAGGCCCAGCGTCTGGCCTGCATGACGAACCACACTGCTACCCATTTGCTGAACTTTGCACTCCGCCACATTCTGGGTGACCACACGGAGCAGCGAGGGTCCCATGTGACAGCAGAGCGGCTGCGCTTCGACTTTGATACCAAGGTGACCCTGGACTCTGTTTTCTTGTTCTCAGCAATACTGATGTCCCAGTACCGGCCTTCTCTGCAGGGATTTTTCTCCTCTCACTGTAATCGCTCCTTTAGAGACAGGTCACGTTTTATCTGAGCAACAAAACTTGGCGCTCTGGGCATGACTGGCTGTGCTTTGCCTTGACCTGATTCAGCAGCACTTGCCGAGAGGATGAATGGGGGTCAGAAGGGAAAGGACTCGGCAAAGCCAGTGGTCATGGGACTGACCTGAATAGTGTAAAGGGCTCTTTGAGAGATTCACCAGCTTGGCAGTGGCACGAAGGGGATGAATGGGGGTCAGAAGGGAAAGGACTCAGCAAAGCCAGTGGTCATGGGTCTGACCTGAATAGTGTAAAGGGGTCTTTGAGAGATTCACCAGCTTGGCAGTGGCACGTGTCTGATGTCTGTGCTGGTCATCCAGGCAAGAGGCATTGGGAACTGAAAGCTGGTGGGTCAGGCTGAGCACTTGCCCTGGTAACCTGTCATTCATTGCAGTATTTCTCTTGGGAGAGTTTGGTTGATGCTCTTGAATCAAAAATCCTTATCCCTCATGGGAGGCGAGGGTGGGAGGGTCGTGATGCTCACAATTCCCTTTTACAAGTAGGGAATATGAGACATAGGGGGAGAGTGGTGTGCCCAAGCTGAGTTGCCTGGGGGCCCTGCCCCAGTTCGCCCTCCTTCGTTCTGTACCTCTCCGGAGGCTTCTCCATAAGGTGACTGATTTCCTTCCTCAGGGCCCTGTGACTGTGGAGCAGCTGCAGCAAGTGGAGCGAGTGGTCCAGGACATGATCAAGCGAAATGAGACTGTGCATATGGCTGAGGTCCCCCTCACGCTGGCAAGAAGAGTTCAGGGACTCCGTGTGGTGGATGAGGTATGGCAGGGTGGCAGCACACACCTTCCCCAGCCTTCTCCTTCAGCAGACAGAAGATGTTGACGCAACAGTTTTCTGACTCCCAAGACTGGGGAAGGAAAATAGGAGAGAGGTGAGATCTCAGGAGTACCGTGCTGTAAAACGTGGAGGCTGGTGATGCGTAGGCTTTCTGCTCATTTCTTTGGACCAAAAACTTGTAGTGTCACTCAATTATTTCTTTCTCCCCATAGTGGCTCGTTGTGGGGGAGAAGCCGTGCTGCTCCTGACTCTGGGGCTACTCTAGATTAGGGGAAAAATGAGGCAGACACCTGAAGCCATGTAGGTAGTCTATAAGTGCCCCTGAAGGAACATGTTGTTAGCTGCTGATCCCTGTCTCCTCTGTCAGGGGTATCCAGATCCAGTGAGGATAGTGTCCCTGGGGGTCCCTGTGGAGAGTGTGCTGACCCGCGACTCTGAGGCTGCAATGCAGACCTCTGTGGAGCTCTGCTGTGGGACGTAAGTGACTTTTACTTGCAGTCAGAAGGTGTGTTTGTGGGCGCTGGTGGCTGAGGTAGAGCCATTCTTGCAAGCTCCGCGCCCGAAAGATCACATGAGCACAGGATGGGCTGGTTACAAAGCTTTGGAAGTCCCAGGGTGAGAAAACTTGAGTGAAATGCAAAGCTTTTTTTCCTTGCTTCATAGTCTGAAACCAACCTGGAAGCCACAGGGCGCCAGCAGAGTGTGGGGAAGGAGGTGTGTGGCCTGTCACAACAGGGCTTTGGCTTGGGGGTTGGAAGAGGGCTGGGAACCCAGAAGGAGACTCTGAGATGGTTGTGAGATCTTGAGAGACCACTCTGATTATTTTAGTTCATTATCTTCGCCCTCTTCTGCTTTTAGCAGTAATGAGAGTAGAAGAAGAGGTAATCAATCTTAGGGCAATGCTGACACAAAAAAAAAAAAAACAGGAACAAATTGGCCTTTGAGCAGAATGAGCTGAAAATGAGCAAGTTTTTAGTCATGAGATCATTCTTGTGGGAGTAGTGGGACAAGAAACTGCATGGGAGCAGAGATGATCCATTCTTGTGAAGCTGTGTGAAATGATTACTTGTGGTAACAGAACCTGAGACACCGTGGTTGTTTTCATATCCAGTGTTGAATAGCTGAGAAGGAAAGGGGAGGTTGTCAGAGCCCTGTGACTGCACAACTACCTTGTGACCGGAGTCTACTGGCCAGTCTGTGAGCTGGCCTGACAAGAGAGTGGTGGAAGAAAAAAATTACTTTCTACGAGGCTCAGTAGCAGCCAAGTAGAAGAGCAAAAACCCAAGTCATCCCACTGCTTAAGGAAAAAAGAGAAAAGCAAGGCAGCTCTTGGCTGTTACGTGCCATTTGACAGCAGCCTGCTGAGCAGGTAGCACAGAGCTTCCTCCGGAGTAGCCTCAACTCTGCTGTCTCTTGCCTGGCAGGGTGCCTTCAGGATGTTTAGGGATGGGGAAGGATTGAAGCTATTTGGGTCGGGATGGGGCTGCTGGACTTGAGACTTGTCTAAAAGGAAAGCAGGCTTCCTGACTTCTCTTTCCAGAGAGCAGCTTGTTTTCTTTCCTGTTCTCTGCTGACTTTGCAGGCACCTTCTACAAACGGGAGCTGTGGAAGATCTGGCCATCATCAGTGAGCGTCAGCTTGTTAAAGGGATTAGCCGTGTCATTGCAGTGACAGGGGGACAAGCCAAACAGGTAAGAAAGGAAGAACTGATATTTCTGCAGTGTCAAGGCAATGCCAGAAGGACTCAACTTTGTACGTTCATGCTTAGACAATTTGCTTCCCCATACTTTGGCTGGAGCCTCCCTGCTATGCCTGATCTGGCTTCCTTCTTCACCCAGTTCTGCTGCCGTGCCTCACTATTCACCTTCATTCCCCCTATCCTAGTCTGCTCTCTCCTTGACCTTCCTTCCTTCCCTCAGATTCCCTTTTCCAAGATAAGAACTTGGCACAAAATGTCAAGTAGAAGTCTCTAGAGTATAACTCTCAGTCCCCAGGTAGATATTTAAAGGTGTGATCCTTTGTGCTTTGGTTTCACCTCCTGCTATCACAGTTGGATTTGCACTTTATGGTTACAGGGCTCTGGCCTCATTCTTACAGCCCTTTTGCTGCTTTTCTTTAGTCTTTTTTCCTGCTAAACTTTGGTTCTGGTCGGGATGGGTCTGTATAAAGAGTAAGCAACCCTATTCTTGTGTCCATGAGATTGCTCTGTCCTTTGAATATCTGGAAGTGTCAGGGGCCCTGCAACCTTGCCCACTTCCTTTAAGGCTGCAGCCGGGGTGGAGTGACTCACTGCCAGTGGAACTGCGAAGACTAAAGGCAAAGCCCGCCCCTGCAAATCTGTTGCTTTTTGGCTGGCTGTCCCCTGTGCATCTGTGTCCCTAGGAAGGCTTTTCTTGGTGCAGAGGAATGAAAAGCTGCGGGGCACATCTGCATGCTCTGCTGGAAGTGCTGGCCTGGAGAGCCCCCGAGAGGAGCTGTGTGCATGTGTTAATCAGGCAAGGGAGACTGCAGGCATGAAACAGGGGATGCGTGTCCTAGCTAGGCAGAGCACTCCTCACTGTCCACAGATTTTCTTACATACTTTCTGCTGTCCTGGTCTAAAGTCTAGCTAGCAGGACCATCGTGGGCACAAAGATCTGGCAGAGAGGAAATGCTCCAAACCATAAGGCTTTTCCCTGGTGAAAAAAGCCTGTATTAGCTTTTTTATCAATGGTAGCATTGGCTTTGGGGGAAACAATAAGAAATGCACCAAGACCAGGTGAACTGGTCCTCAGGAAATGTGCTTGAACAGCTCATGAGTTTTAGTTTTAGCATTTCTTTTGTTTCTTCAATCATTAGTTTCAAGATTGTATTTGCTAATGAAAAAAAGAACACTAAGAAGTAAATAGGGCTCCTAAGTTTTTCTCACTGAAATCCTGATGATTTGGTGTGAAATGCTGAGGGAACATAAATGCATGACAGCTTGGTCCCCTGGGTGTGCCTGTCTAGTGTTGGTTGCAAATCTAGAGAGGAACATTCTATTCCAGAGTCTCTTGGGGACAGTTGTTCTTAAAGCCTCTCTCTGTCTTCCCACTGCACCCTGAGCAGTACTTCAGTGGTTACGACTCTTACTGCCTCCCTGCTTTCTTCATCCCTGTTCATTCTTTCTCTTGCTGCATTTGAAGCATTCTCTCCCTCCTTCTCTCCAGGCCCGGGAAGTAGGCCAGTGCTTGGCTATGGAAGTGGACTCTGTCTCCCTGCGAATGAAGCAGAGGATCACCTCTATTCCTGAGATGCAGAACCTCTCCAAAGAAGTGGGCCAGTTGACCAAAGTAAGGATTGCACCCCTGTACAGAAGGATCCCAGTGTGGGCTCTGTTCGCTTGAGGCCCATGACTTCTTCCCTACCAGGTTCACATCTTACCATGGTCAATAGCAAGGGTATGTTGCTACCTGCCGGAGCCAATTCGCTCGCAAAGATTTCAATGAGGGTTTAGGTGCCTCTGTTGCAGGTGACCTGCTGCCGGAGGGGATGTAAGAGAAGACAGTGGTGGGGAGGGTCAAACAGTGAAAAAGGGTTCCCAGGCTTTAAATGCCCAGCCGATAAGAGAAAGCTACACGCCACAGTGACTGGCTGGACTGATCACATAGGGGTATAGGAGGGTCTGGGAAGAGGCCAGGCTCTGGCCTGACCTCCCAGAGAACTAGCAGTTTATTTCTAGGTACGGTTTAGTGTCCTTACGCAGCAAATTGTCTTGCAGGTGGTGGCTAGCACTGCAATGCCCCAGTGGCAAAGAAAAGAACTACAGGCTATCCTCAAAGCACTTCAGCGAACAGCCAACACGGGCATCAAGAAACTGGAAATGCAGCAGGTACTGTGGCAGCAGCACACTCGGAGCCTGCTAATAACACTGTGTGGTGTACACCAGTGGATCTGGTGTCTCTGTCACACTTCACAGCCACTCAGTCACTAGGGTCCCATTAGAAGGCAGAAGAAAGCCAGTACAGTCACACATGGTGCAACACAAGCCCTGTGTAGGGTTTATTTCACTGGCATTAGCCAGGGCCACCATTTAAAATGCAGGGAATAACTGGGCTTTTGGCACCTGCAGAATCCTTGTCTGCCTGTGAGGATGGGGGATCCCATATCAGCACTTTTGGCAAACACTAGCAGGTAGATAAGCATCCCTTTGCTGTTTATACATGGAGAAGATGAGGTGGGCTGAGGACCCAAAAATGGGCTTTACAAGGTCACGCAGTAAGACAGTGTTGGACAGAGCCTTTCTCCCAGCCATACAGATATTGCTCTGGCTTCCCACTGTATTTGTGTCTTGCTAATTTACATTACATTAAAAGCCCTTTGGGAATGCATATTCGCAACTTAGGGTTCTCAGCAAGAGTTTTTATTTTCTTAAAGTAAGAGCATTTTGCCACAGGAGCCTGCCTGAGACACGTGGCAATGTGTAGGTCTAGGAGAGAGGCTGGGGACCGAACGGGTTGCTGCCTATTCCGCTTTTGGAAGGGGTTCATCTCTGCTTGCTTTTGAGGAAGGAGGGTCGTACAGGTCTTTATGTGGAGATTTCAGTCTGCCAGTCTCACTTCTGTTAACATACATCCCCTCTCTGTCCCACAGAGCAGCCCTTCCATTCCCAATGTACATACGTTGCATACACATACCCCCATCCAGCCCACCCTCTGTCATCTGTAGCCCCTCAAGTGCTGTGTGTTTCCTCCTCCAGGCTGAAGAGAAGGCACAAGGCCTGCTAGCAAAACATCGCAACCAGCCTGTCATCATTGATACCGTCCCAGCTGACTCCCTCTCAGTGAGTAATCCACATTACTTGTTGGCCCAGCAGTACCTCAGGTGCTGAGTACAGTAAGAGGGAGCTGCTGGGCATGTTTTCTGCTGCGTGCCAGTTTCCATCGCTGTAGCCTGACCCCACTTCTCCCTGCCTCTCCTAGATCCTAATGAAGGTAGTGAACCAGCTATGTGACAAGTCTCCTGGCGCATCGGTCCTGCTGCTCAGCCCTCAGGTTTCTGGTGAGGTGCTCTGCGCCTGTCAGGTGTCCAAGGTAAGCAGGACCCTGGTTGAGACATGGGGAACCTGCCTGCAAAGGGGGACTGGACCCACTGCTCAGCAGGTCCCAGCTGAGGCTTTTGCTGGGATTCTGCCCAGTGCTGGTGGTCAGTCACACAGAAGCAGGACCTGAGATGACCATACTGGGACCAGATATACTTTCAGTCTTTGCTGGGCAGAGATATCCCTGGATCTTCCAGGCCGTCTTTGCCCAGGGGCAGGACACAGCATTAACATGTAAGCTCAGCCTCTGCGGTCCTCCCAGTCATGACGGCCTTGTTAGTGAAGTCCCAGCCTGGGTGAGGAGAGAACATTGTTGCCTTTTTTCCTCCAAACTACAGAGTGCTCCGCAGTCCAAATCACTTTCCTCTGTGTCTCTTCCCCAGAATTGCCTCCCCGTGTTCTCTGCTGCTGACTGGGCCGTGGCTGTCTGTACGCAGATGGAAGGGAAGGCAGGAGGCTCTCCCGTCGTCGCTAAGGGCAGTGGAAATGCCAAAGGCATGCAGGGAGCCCTGACTACTGCACTGGAGTTTGCTCAGAGTAAACTCTGAAGTGACTGTGGTGCTTTGGTGGCAGGAGAGCTGTATGCAGCCCAGCTGCAAGCTACATAGACACTTGATGCAGTGTGTGTTACACTCTGCTATCTGAAAGGTGTAGCAGCTCCCACACTGAACATGGCTGCAACCATTGCATTGGAGCGTTTGGCTTTTGGCCATCAGGGGTTAGTAGAGACCCTGCTCCTGAACGGACTGACAGAACAACGCTGCCTGTTCTCAGCAACCACATATGGGGATCGAGCCTCAGAAAGCAGCAGTTGCAGCAGCAGATCCTACTTCTTCTGGAACAGTGCAATTCTTGCCAAAAGACCAGCATTGAGAGGCTCCATGAGAGCATGGGGAGATGGCACAGTGTTATCCCAAAGCCATTAAATGGTAGAGTGCTTGATCCTCTGATGTTTCTTGTTAGCTGCATTTTTTTTCTTTTTTTTTTTTTTTTTTTTTTTTTTTTTCCTGCTGTTTTCTGGCAAAGGGTTTTGTTCTGTCCCTGCAGTCCCACGAGTCAGCCATGCACTCTTGTAAGCAGTCCCATCCTACTGCAGAACTCGGGACACTCCTCTGATTAAAAATGCCACTATCATTTAGACGTGGGGAGAGAAGTGTGTGTCCCCCACCTGTGGGCTCAGCGTTTTCAGCCTATGCCTATTAGGCTATGCAGTCCTCGGTACTGAAGCATGGAGGGAACAAAATTATCCCAGCTTCTACCTCGTTTGGATGAATGTTCTTATCCTTGTTTCCTCCTGCCGCTCCCTTGTAACGCCTTCCTTCTCACACCGCCTCCTGGCTTCTTTCTTACCAGCACCTACCTAAAAACCATCATGGATCTGGTGAGTTGCGTGAATGGGGACGGGTGCTGTGTTGCAGCGTGGAACTCCCTGCAGCAGGACACTCAGCCTTGAAGTGAGCAGGTCTCCCTCCTAAACTAGATGCTTTTCACGACCGCTAGCAGACACAGCAACCTCAACTCATAAAGACATTTCAGATTTCATTGTTAGAGTGATGTCTAGAGCTCTTAACCAAAGATCCATTATTTTAGATACTGTATAGACCTAAATAAAGACAGATCACAAACGGTAGCTGATGCAAAGGTGCAACGGGATAGTGATACAAGCAGGCTTCACCCTGTGAGCAGCAACAGCAGCCCAACGGATGAATTTCACCAGCAGGTAGGGTTGCCTGGCCCAGTGCAGGGAGGTAGAGGAGGGAGGAGCTGCATGCTTTTGGGGAGAGGAGGGGTGGAAGCACAGTGATGCTGATGGATGGGGAGCAGGAAACTGTCACCTCAATAAGGATTGGTGAAGAGGCTGTAGTGGGGAATGGCCCAGCCTCCTAATGAGAGACTTCTTCCACTTTTTTTAGCTGTCTGCATGAGGGGGAGAGGGTGAATAGCTGCTGTGCACAGAGCCTCCTCTCCCTTCTCTCTTCAATGAAGGGAGGCAGACTTAGAGGCATGACTGTAGAGAACAAGGGGTTTTCTTCCCTATCTCAGTGGATGTCCAGCTCAGTATCTCCTACGTGGTCCCTAAGGCTCCTCATCTTTGTGAAGTGCCAGGAAGCTGGTTTTGTGCTTGGCAAAGTGCCCGATATAAATACGAGGACCTGGAGGCAGAAGGAACAGGGAGCCTTTAGGGGCAGGTGGTGCTCCCTGCTCTCCTCCCCTGCTCCCCCAAAGCAGTGACGGTGACAGTTGCAGCAGGACCACAAACCTTACTTGTTCAGTAAATGCTACTTCCAGCTGCTTAAAGTGGGGCTTGTTGCAAAGGGGGGCTATGAGCCAAGGTTCCTGGGTGCCTGCCCCTGCTGCTGAGAGTTCAGGCATCAGAGGGGTGCACCAGCCCCTTCCTTGCATCACCCTGCCAGCGGGGCAGGTTGCTGCTCACCGCAGACCCTGCCTGCGTTCCCCTACGTTGCAGCAGAGCAGCTCAGTGCTTTCTGAAATTTCTTTCCATTTCTGGATGCAGAGGCGCTGCTGGTGCTTGTAACATCTCTGCAAGGAACCTGAGCACAGGGGAGAGCTGGAACATCCCGCCCGGCACTTCAGGGACCTCGTGGTGAGGCTGGTAGGGTGCTGGAGAGCTGGAACATCCCGCCCGGCGCTTCGGGGACCTTGTGGTGAGGCTGGTAGGGTGCTGGAGAGCTGGAACATCCCACCTGGCGCTTCAGGGACCTCGTGGTGAGGCTGGTAGGGGGCTGGGGAGCTGGGAAATCCCGCCCGGCGC